GACTCAACCCTTACGGCCAAAAATCCTCGGTCACGCCCCTCCTAGAACTCTGATCGGCGACCCCGTACGGGAAGCTGCGAGGGGGCGTGAGGTTGCGTATCACAAGCCAGCGCTGCCCGAGGCCAATCGCACCAGCATGAACCCTCATCAGCTGGTACCCATCCGACAACTAAGGCTGCCCGATGCCAATCGCATCTAATGAAAGATCCCCCAGCCGACACCCCTCGGACAACCTAATTCCACCCTCTCTCCGTCCTCACAAAGAATCATCTCGTGCCCTTTACCCCTCACCTTGAACAGAACCCCCAAAACCCAACAGAACCTCCACTCACCTCCTTCTCTTCCCCAACTCCGTTCTAGTAAAGAGTTCGACAGACCATGTCCTCAGCAAGAGCCAGACACAATCCTCACCCTGCAATCTCCTGCCCCCTCGGAGATTCCAGTTTCCGTCATCAAGGGGGTGAGCCAGCACCGCCTGAGGCCAATCGCACCAGAGTGAACCCTCATCAGCCGGTACCCATCCGACAACCAAAGCTGCCCGACGCCAATCGCATCCAATGAAAGTTCCCCTAGCCGGTACCCCTCAGACAGCCCCGATGCACCCTCTCTCCGTCCTCACAAAGAGTCATCTCGTGCCCTTTGCCCTCCATCTTGGACMGATCCCCAAGCTCAACAGAACCGCCCCATATGAATTCACGAAATTTCAGAAGCGAATTTTAGTCGATTTTTGAGACCACATGCCATTAGGACCTTCGACCATTGAAATCACTAAGACTTATTACCAGTACCAGTAAAAAACCAGACTAACGATTGTGTAGAGTGAGAAGTTTTTTAGAAGCTTTTATAGGAAAGTATTTCGAGAATATTTTTAGAAGCTTTTATAGGAAAATATTTTGAGAATCAGCAGTTAGATTTGGGAAGCTTCTATAGGAAAATATTTCGATTTGTAGAATCAGAAGTTTTTTAGATGCTTATTATAGAAGAATATTTCAAGAATATTTGTAAAAGCTTTTATAGAAGAATATTTCGAGAATCAGAAGTTTTTTTTTTTTTGGAGACTTTACTAGGAAAATATTTCGAGAATATTGGAAGAATATTGGAAGAATAGTTTTGAAGATAACCTAGTCGTATCCCAAAGTTTTTTTGGAGTCTTTAATAGGAAATTATTTCGAGAATATTAGAAGAATAGTTTTGAAGATAACCTAATCGTATCCCTTTGAGCAAAATCAAAGAAATCCACGAAGAGTAATCAATGAAAGCATCAAAACCATGTTGATCATCAAACGACTAAGGACACGAAACCATGCCAGACACTCAATCTTTAAAACAGGGCCCAACTGTGACGGCGCAGATCCTGGACGAAGTGAAAGCTAAGAAAAAAACCTTCTCCCTTCTTCTTCAACCCTTCCTTCCACTTACGTCTCACCCTTCAAACCCTACCTCTGCACCTCTGGGGGAAGAAGAGTTCACTTCCTCCCGCTGCTAGTTCAAGGCCCAAGGCAACACTGACTCCAAAGGTATAAGCGGCCATCTTCGATCCCTGTAGGGAGTCGAAAACAGTGTGGCACCCCTCGCCAAGCCCGTTGACAAGTCACCACAGGAGGTTCGAACCACCATAGCCGTAAAGTTACCACACACTTACATATAGTTGAAGAACAAGGCAGATTCGGAATCACTACGT